GGCTGGACCTTTGCTAGCATGTACTCCACATGAGGTCCCCACTTCAGGTCGTTGCTGACCACAATTCCAAGAAGCTTGAAGGAGGTCACTCTCTCAACGGACTCACCATTCAAGGTAAGTGGAGGGGGTACTACAGGGCTGCGGCGACAACTGATGACCATATCTTTGGTCTTTTTTGCATTGGCACTCATGCAGAAAGAGTTTGCCCAGGCGTCTACCTTGTCCAGTGCCACAGTTTCTAGGAACAGGCCAAAATCAATGCGCGCGCGGACGTCATCCATAAAATTTACTTGGTGTGGCCTAATCAAATCAGCCCGGCCGAGCCCACAGTGAATAGGGAGACCAAATCTATTCTGATTTGTTTTTGACACATAATGCTGGCATTGAAAAGGTCTGGATAATTTTATATCTCAGGCATAAGGTACACATCAGGATTTTCTGCTGCAGTACCGGAGGCATTCGTCATGAGGCCCACATTTGACAATGATACCTGCCTTCCCAAGATTTACCCAAAAACTAGATATCATCTTACATGATTTGGCATTCGGTTATGCTAACCACACAAGTACAGAAACACCGACATTCAGGCCTACACAGAAACACAAAGGAAAATTACCTACATTTTAATTTTGCTTGAGTTGTTATAAAAAAAAAATAGCAGCTCTAGGTTGATATTTATATTGAGCTTTTTGCTATTCCTAATTGTATACGTTAACGGAATATGGTCAATTACAAGTTTTTCCAACGTAAACATTCAACTCCAGCCACGTGTCTAAGCACCAATGTTGCACTAAGTGCGTGCGAGTTGTTATCCAGCTCTGACGACTATTTCTTATTTTAACTCACTTACATGTAGTTACAGGCACCGTAGCGTGCAGCCAAACACTACTTTTACGCATCACATGTAGCGTAACCTTTCAGGTCTGGCACCCTTGTAGGAAGTTCACTGAGTCAGTGCTCGCAAAATGAATGGGTGACCTAATCTCCAAGCAGATCCCTCTCGGTGGCAAAAAGACAGTATTAAATTGGCCAGGCAGTATCCATTAGCCAGAGAAGCTCCACGGCCACCGACGGGTGGTGGGGATCAGAACAAAAAAAAACAAAAACGGCCAGATATAAAAAAGCAACGATCATTCCTTTATTTTTAATACAAGGGATCTAATACGACGTTAAATCTTAGGATATGAAACAAAAGTGGCTCTTGACCTTGGGAAATCTGAGAATGGACTTACAACTCTTTGGTCAATAATGTCTAATTTGTCAAAATTATCGGTTCTTGCCTTAGTATTTACGAATTCAATAGTAAAGCAAACTGGAGACCATCCATTAAAAAGCAAATTGTATTGAATTTATCCAAAGCAAAGACTACATCCGGGTGGTTCAATCACCCCTAATACAATTCTTGATCGTTAAATAGTTGTAACTATATTATGATAAGTTCCTTACAATTTGACATAAATGACGCTTTGGAGATCACGACCGTCAGCACTTGACAAGTAAAGGGAAACCAGGACTACATGTTAATTGTTATCTCTCTTTTCTCACTTGAAGCCTATAGAATATGATGTATAGATATATAATACGTGTAATATATAAGTCGACGCGACGAATACACTGCTAATATATCTAAGTGATACACTGGTACACCTGGCCTGCAGAAGAATCGCGTTAGTTCAGGTCAAATGACAATTACATTGACCGTTGTCATGCACTGCAGGGACAGGTATGTTGTTAGAGAGGGGGCAGAGAAATTGGGCCTGCAAATTGTTGGTACACAGATTATTTTTGTGTTGTTCTTTTATAGAATTTTATCATGTGGCCAATTTTTGTAAGATTTTGTCAGTTTTTTGCCAGGTAGATAGGCGTGTAGATAAGCGTGTTTACCTCTTAAATCTAGACAGAACAAATCGAGACCTCAGTGTTGTGATGTATGTTATATCATGAATATTTGTGGCCATGTCACACCCCTTCAGGCAGGCGATTCCAATTGCAAGCTGATCAGTTGTTGCTCTTTAAAACGCCAGAGTCGATGCGTGAGTTTTCCACAAACGGCAAGTAGACATGTATAACTTTCCAGTGGATGGGGGCTTTCTGAGATTGAAATTCATGGTAAGTGTATTTTGAAGCCTTGAATATGCCTGTTTTGTACAGAAACCTAAAGTATATTGAAGGCATTTCCCGGCCCCTCCCTGAGTAGGATATCGATAGAGAGAGACTGTTGCCGGTGTGAGTTTTAGGGATACGGGTCGAAGGCAAAGGTCTTGAAAAGGTCTGGGTAATTTTATATCTCAGGCATAAGGTACACATCAGGATTTTCTGCTGCAGTACCAGAGGCAGTCGTCATGAGGCCCACATACGACAATGACAATGACACCTGCCTTCCCGAGAGTTACCTACAAACTGAATATCATCTTACATGATTTTGGCGTTCGGTTATGCTAACCACAAAAATACAAAACGCCGACATTTAGACCTATACAAAAATACTGAAAACAAAAACATTACCTGCATTTCAATTTTGTCCGGGTTGTTATAAAAAACAACTTTTTAACAAGCTTTAGGTTGAAATTTATGTTTGGGTATTTGCTTTCCCTGGTTCAATACATTAACAGAATATGATCAATTACACAAGTTTGTCGAAGGTAAACATTTAACTGCAGCCACGTGTCTAATCACCAATGCAAGTTGCTTTCCATCTCCGACGACCATCTCTTATTTCAACTCACTTACATGTAGTTATAGGCACCGTAGCGTGCAGCCCAACACTGCTTTTACGCATCACACGTAGCGTAACCTTTTAAGTCTGGCACCAATGTAGGAAGTTCACTGAGTTAATACTCGCAAAAAAGAATGGCCTGACTTAAAAACCCGTAAACATTGAGGGTACGAAGAAGGAAAGGGCTGCAGGTGCTCCTTTCTTTTGAAATATGGTACTTCTGTTATTGTGTATCAGGTCAAGACTTGGGGCTGAACAAACGATCACTGACAGGATACACACTAGAAGGCTCAGATGGTTTGGGCATGTGATGCGAAGACCGGTAAACACCTTAGTTTTTAAGGCATACCACCAGGACTTCCAAAACCCTAGACCCCGGGGAAGACTACCCAAGAGGTGGAAAGATCAGATCCAGAGTGACACGGGGATTACTCTAAGTGTACCATAGACTATTGCCCTTGACAGAACTGGTTGGAGGAGCCTGACGGACGGGAGCAAGGAGCCAGTACCTGGCCTGTGCACTTAGGCAGTAGGCAGGTTATTGTGTATTTCTGTTCAGCCATTCAACAACACAGCCACGCACGGCTTTGCACAAAAGGATCAGTTCTTGGAGATGTACCTTGGCTTGTTTCAAAACTTCAGTAAAAATTCCAAACGTTGTTTTTTTCAAGCCACGCACAGAAACGGTGGTGCCAAGGGATTTATAACTGTACATCCGTCTGGAAACAAACCACCTCTTGATAATAAATCATATGCTGACGTCATCATCGTCAAAGGTAGCGTACATATCCTGTCCGAAATTATTTGTTTTATAAAGATGCCCTTTAGCCCCATGAGGGGCTACTCTTCCAGGGTTCATTAGACAAGGTGATTTGTTGGGCATAAGGCAACCCACGTTTCCATCTGAAAAACATTTCTAATCAATCCCAAAACAAATCGTTTAGAAGTAGCGTCATAACAACAAAACTAAGGATATAACGCCAACTTGCTACAAAATAAAAAAAAAGACTCTACAAATAACTCATCAGCCAATTGGAGACTATGCGCCACGTGCCATGAAGATATTGATAAGGATTCGATAATATATTGCCCAACCTATGATACAGACTAACAAATATTGTTATAGTAAACAGTGCACGATAGGTGTCTAGAATATCTTGGTGACGGAATCTAAGGAATCTTATTTTTTTCCTAACCCCGCTCACTAATGGAGGACAGGGACGAGTGGATAAGAAGAACCCATTGTCTCCCGTGT